TCCGCTGTAGATAAAGCGGCGACTTGATGTGCCATGGGTAACGTCCAGGGTGCTGGTCGAGAGATGGTGGACATGATAGGCCCCGTACAGGCCTTACTTAGACAACGTGATTTAAAGGTGTCAAGGCGGACAATCACCACCTTGCTGACAGATACAGATAAATCAGCTCCATGGTTCGCAGTCTCAGGGGATCTTACTTTGCCCTCCTGGGAAAAGCTAGGGCTCGACCTCAAAACAGCAGAGAGAGAAAGAAAACTAAAAAGGGGCATGATTCCTTTCTGGGGCCTTGCGCGTGACTGTCTCAGAGAGGGAACCAATACAGAAATCATTAGGGAAGGGCAAAAAGCATTGATAGCACACCAGGATAGTTTTTCAGAATCAGACATACAAGAGGGAAACTTGGATAGGCCTAAGAAAAAAATAGAAAAGAAGAAAGAAAAGCAAATAATTATATGCAAAGATGAGAAGGAGAAATTAGATAAAAAGAAAGAGGAACAGCCCCTCCCCAGGCCAGGGGAGGAGACAGGCTGACTTTACCCGGTCTTGAGAGAATTTTCTAATCTAGAGTTGTCAGATGATGAACTTAGTCATGATGAGGAGGAGGAATTGGAAGAGGAAGTGGCAAGGTATTGAGAGGAGGAATGGGAATGACCAGGAGTACACCCTCCTGCCCACAACCCCTCATATGGCATAAAAAAATCCGACACCTCGTCCACCTGACCCGCCACGGGTTGCGCCCTCCGCACCACCGATAAAGGCTGCTCCTTTGCATTTTGGAGCGCGGGGAGGCTGCCATTACATTAGCCAGGGCACCTGGGCCCGTTTAGCCTCAGCATTTCTGGTGCTGGAGGATCTAATGACTCAGGAGAGGAGATATGAGCCCGTCCCCTATAAGCAATTGAAAGATTTAGTCGCGGCAGTGAAAGACTTTGGGGCTACAGCAGATTACTTGATCACCCTTTTGCGCAGAATCTGCGTCTCACCGCTGACGCCACAGATTGGATTGAGTTGGGCAGAACGTGCCTGACTAAGGGCCAATTCTTGGACTTTAAGTCCCTGGCCGCTGATAATGCCCAGACACAGGCTAGAATAAATATTCAAAATGGGCACCCAGAATGGACAGCAGACATGCTCCTGGGCCTTGGACGATATTTGGGCAATCAGGTTGGCCTCCCCATGGATGTTTATCAACAAATAAATGAAATTCATTATCGGGCCTGGAGAGCACTCCCCAATAAAGGGGAAGTGGCTGGCAACTTGACAAAGATCATTCAGGGCCCCCGCGGAACCTTTTGCAGATTTTGTAGCCAGGCTACTTGAGGTAGCAGATAAGACAATAGGTGGTGCTGAATACACCATGCCTTTTGTACAACAAATTATCTTTGAACAAAGTACAAAAGAGTGTCAAAGGGCCATAGCCCCGGTCAGACATAAGAATTTGGATGCTTGGATCAAAGCTTGCCGGGAGGTAGGGGGCCCCCTGACTAATGCTGGCCTTGCTGCGGCTGTGCTCTCAGTCACTAAAGCCGCTCGTGATTCCAAAGGAAAAGGCTGCTTCCGATGTGGTCAGCCAGGACATTTAAAAAGAAATTGCCCTAATGGCACCGTCTCGCCTGGGCAACTTGCATCGACAGGTTCGCGCATGCCTGGGACTTGTCCACGCTGTAAGAAAGGCAAACATTGGGCAAATGAGTGTCACTCTACTAAGGACATAAATGGCCACCCCATTCTTCCGCCAGGTCAAAAAAATGGGGTGAGGGGCCCCCCGTCCCCAGGGCCCAAAAATATTTGGGGCATTTCAGACCCCTATGTCAACACAGACTCCCCAATTGATGGGGCCAAGTCAGTCGCCCGGCGAGCGACTAGCAGCTCTGCAGGGCTGGACCTCTGTGCCACCTCCGGAATGGTATTAACGCCTGAGATGGGGGTTCAGATTTTGACGTCAGACATGTCGGGTCCATTGCCAGAGGGCCAAGTGGGGATAGTTTTGGGACGTTCTTCGTCAACAATGAAAGAGCTTATGATTTTCCCGGGAGTAATCGACCCGGATTATACTGGGGAGATTAAGCTTCTTTGTCACTCCCTGTCAGGGGTTATTTCAATTGCTCCTGGAGATCACATTGCTCAGCTCCTGCTCCTGCCCTCGTCCCGTGGGATGTTTCCCTCAAGAAAAGGGACCAGAGAAAAGGGAGGCCTGGGCTCTACAGGAGTTGGTCTGGCTTGTTTGTCTATGGCTCTTGATGACAGACCTGTATTGCAATTAATCATTGAAGGGAGGGCCTTTTACGGCTTAGTTGACACGGGCGCTGACAGGAGTATTATTAGAATTAAAGAATGGCCTAAACAATGGTCCCTCCAACGCTCGGCCCAATCCCTACAGGGCTTGGGCTATGCACACACGCCCTGTATAAGCTCGAAAGAGCTGGTCTGGAAGATGGAGGACCAACAGGGCAGAGTTCAACCTTTTGTAATTGACCTCCCCATTAGTCTTTGGGGCAGAGACATCCAACAGCAGTTACAGCTGCGGTTGACAAATGAGTTCTCAGAGGAAAGTAAAAACATGATGTCAAAACAGGGATTCGTCCCTACTAAGGGGCTAGGAAAAAATCTTCAGGGTATATCTCAGCCCATCATCCCGTCTGTGAAGACAGACCGGAAAGGGCTGGGTTTTTCTTAGCGGCCACTGACTCATTGGCTTCTGATATTCAGCCTCTCCCCATACCTTGGACAACTCAGAAGGCGGTGTGGGTACCCCAGTGGCCCCTTTCTCAAGAGAAATTAGAAGCCGTTAAACAGCTTGTCCAGGAACAGCTTCCCTTGGACCATATTGAGCCCTCTGTCTCACCATGGAATATACCAATTTTTGTCATTAAGAAACCATCTGGAAAATGGCGATTGCTCCATGACTTGAGAGCTGTTAATAACCAAATGCAGATCATGGGGCCTACTCAAAGAGGTCTCCCATTACTTTCTGCTCTACCAAGAAATTGGCCTGTGATGATCTTGGACATTAAAGCTTATTTCTTCTCGATCCCCCTGTGTAAGCAAGACAGGGAGTGGTTTGCTTTTACCATACCCTCCATTAATCATGAACAACCCGATGCCCATTTTCAATGGTGGGTCCTCCCACAGGGGATGGCTAATAGTCCTACAATGTGCCAACTGTTTGTGGATGCTGCCTTGTTGGCTGTGCGGCAGCAATATCCTGATGTGCGTATTATTCATTATATGGATGACATCCTGTTGGCAGCCCGTTCCCTACAAAATCTTGAGGATGCCTTTCAAAGAACAGTTTCTACACTGGAGGCTCGGGGCCTGGTTATAGCTCCTGAAAAGGTACGGCGTTCGACCACAGCTAAGTTCCTGGGGATGATAATTCAGCCAGATACTATTCGCCCCCAGAAGGTCCTTATTCGGACTCAACATCTGACGACACTCAACGACTTCCAGCAGTTGCTGGGGGATATCAATTGGGTTAGGGGTTATCTTCACCTCCCTAGATCTGAATTATTGCCCCTATTTTCCATATTAGAGGGCAATCCTGATGTGACCTCCCCGCGAGCCTTGACTCCTGCAGCAAAGTGTTCCTTACGCTTGGTGGAGGAGGCACTGTCCTGGGCACAGCTTAATAGATATGATCCATCTCTTCCCATTTCTTTATGCATCCTAAAGACAAGACATTCTCCCACTGGTGTGTTATGGCAGGATGGACCCCTCTGGTGGCTACATGGCAATTCGGTGGGAATGCGGACCCTTAATTATTATCCTGCCCTAGTACCCCTTCAGGCCATGACTGGCATAAAATTTTGCTTAACATCTTTTGCAAAAATGCCTGATAAGCTAATCATTCCTTATACCAAAGATCAGGTAGAAGTTTTGGCCGCCACTGTGGATGATTGGGCAGTTTTACTCTGCTCCTTTTCTAATATTATAGATAATCACTTTCCAAAACATCCATTGTTAAGTTTTGTGGATGATAATCTGGTCTATTTTCCCAAGGTCACTTCACCCGTTCCCCTGGTCGGTGCTGTGACTATATTTACTGATGGGTCAAAAACAGGAAAAGGGGAGATGGTTGTGGGACACCAGCCGCCTCAGGTTTTTTCTTTTCAACCTGATACACCCCAAGCAACTGAATGCTTGGTGGTACTTGAAGTTTTCAAGAAATTTTCAGAACCCTTTAATCTGTTTTCAGATTCCCAGTACGTGGTTAATGCGGTTTCCTCCCTTGAGGTGGCTGCCTCAGTTCGTGAGGCAAGCCCCATCTCAAATATCTTGTTACAGATTCAACACTGTATTTTACAAAGAAGCCATTCCTTTTTTGTTGGCCATGTTAGAGCACGTACCTTGCTTCCTGGCTTTATTGCTAAAGGCAATGAACAAGCTGATTTAGCCACCAGAGCATTGATGACTATGGTGGTTGCAGATCCCATCCAGCAAGCTCGGGATTTTCATAACCTGTATCATGTCCCCGCCGATACCCTGCGGAGAAAGTTTGCTTTGACCAGACATGATGCTCAAAGCATTGTAAAAGCCTGTTCTTCTTGTATCACCTTCTTTCATCCCCCTCATGTAGGCGTTAACCCCCGAGGCCTACGACCAAATACCTTGTGGCAAATGGATGTCACTCATGTTCCAGAATTTGGCCGTGTCAAATATCTTCATGTCTCAGTGGATACCTATTCAGGTGTCATTTTTGCCACCCCTCTGGCGGGGGAAAAGTCCACTCATGTTAAAACCCACTGCCTGGAAGCTTGGGCGGCTTGGGGCAAGCCAGTCCGTCTGAAGACGGATAATGGCCCTGCCTACTCTTCCAAGGGCTTTCGTGTCTTTTGTGCACAGCTTCAGGTTGCACACACCTTTGGATTGCCTTATAATCCCCAAGGCCAGGGGATAGTGGAGAGAGCTAATCGCAGCATCAAGGAACTCTTACAAAAACAAAAAGGGGGAGTGGCTGAGACTGCCTCCCCTAGGAACAGGATTGTCATGGCCCTTTTTACTCTCAATTTCTTGATAATGGATGACAAAGGCTGTACAGCAGCTGACCGACACACCTACACCACCCCGGATAGGGTAGGGGATGTGATGTGGAAAAATGTGCTGGATAACAAATGGTATGGCCCGGACCCTGTCATTCGGAGGTACAGAGGAGCTGTTTGTGTTTTTCCACAGGGGCAAGAAGCACCTCATTGGGTTCCGAGTCGCCTGACCAGAGTCGTCGAGGCTCAGGAAAATGATTCCACCATTCGTCAAGATATTGATGCTGTCGATCCTGTGGAAGATGATACAGAGTCGAGCGGAGCAGAGATGGGGGATTCTGTCAGCCTTCCCCAAGCCGATTCCTGTCAGGCATAATGCAGCTGTTTTCCCACGATTTTTTATAAGTCAGAAAATGTTGGGTCTTCCCATGTTACCCCTTGATATGCATGTGGCCCCCTTAGGGGAGAATAGAAGTTTTATGGAAGAGGGTTCCCTATGTTTTACTTTGGAAATAAACCCGGGATCATGCATTGCTCTAAGAAAGCAGGGTTTGGCATGGTTCCAGCAGGATCAAGACTTTACTTTGGTTTCCCAGGAGAGAAGGAATTGGCAATTTGGGCCAGGGAATCAGTCGGCCCCTTTTCAGTTTAGCAATTATTCTTATACCCAAAAGGCCCTTTGGTTCAATGGTACCTTTGTGTCCTTCCCCAATGTTTCGGAAAGCGAGTCTCCGCCTGTCCAGCCATGACTTGCTCCACACTGCTGGGGCTCCCTTAAGGAAAGAGAACTTTGGCCTTGGACAGACTGTCAGTCTCACATGGTCGCCTGGGTGGATAACGCACATAGATTCACCTTTTCGCCTGATATGCGGGGACCAGCCCCTCATAGGTTCTCATTTACCATGGGTTTTTTTATGCAGGTGGATATTATGATTCCCTATGATAAATGGTTACTTTGTGGTGTATACGGTAGCTGTTCAGATATTTCCCCTTTTGTATTGTTGGGGGGGGAGGCAGGATATAGTAAGTTTAGTTGTGTGTATAATCTGACTGAAAGAAATAGAGGGGGAGGGATGGTGCTGGGGTTTATGCAAGTTAATGGTTCTGGAGGATGCCTCGAAAGGTTGAATGATGTTATAAATGTTACCTCTTATAAAGCTGCCCCAGTATGCCTTCATCCACCATTTTTGTTTATTTTAAGTAATTCTTCTTTTACCAATTGCTCTAATGAGACTTGCTCATTATCACAATGCTGGAACACGGCTAAATACACTCGAGCCTTGGTAGCACGGGTCCCTCATTGGGTCCCTGTGCCGGTAGAAGCCCCTAGTACGATGACGTTATTTCGTCACAAGAGGGACTTCGGTGTCATGGCTTTGGAGGTGGTCGCAATGTCGGCCATAGGGGCCTCTGCCACTACGGCGGCTATTGCCATGACTACTGCTATTCAAACAGGCGAGACGCTTAATCGGTTGTCCACCGATGTGGCCTCAGCCCTAGACAAACAAACCACCATGGATGCTCATATTAAAGGTGGATTGATGGTGATCAACCAAAGAATAGATTTGGTACAAGAGCAGGTGGATATTCTTTGGCAGTTGGCCCAATTGGGCTGCGAATGGAAGTTGGACGCCCTGTGCATTACCAGTGTTCAATATGAAAATTTTACTAGGGCTGCCAATTTGTCTCGCTCTTTGTCCTTGTATCTTGCAGGAAATTCGTCTGAGGATTTTGATGCCACCCTGGAAGACCTCAGGCATGCTGTAGTCCTAATTAATTCAACACGTGTGGATCTCAGCTTGGCGAAGGGACTACAGTCCTGGATCTCCTCTGCCTTCTCCCTGTTCAAGGAGTGGGTTGGGGTAGGGATGTTTTTTGCATGCTGCATAGGAGGGTGCATACTGTGCCTTTGGTTGACCTGCCGCCTGCGGACTCAGGTGTCCCGTGATAAGGCAGTAGTGCTGCAGGCACTGGCTGCTCTTGAGAAAGGCAACTCCCCCCAAGTATGGTTGTCCGCTCTCAGGAGCCACTAGCCAAGCACGGCCTTTGCACCCTCATGGGATATTTGCCCATTGCACTGAGGAAGGCGTGCTGGCCCCTTCGTAGCATTGCCTTTGCACCTCCAAGGGCTTGATCCCATTGCACTGGAGAAGGAATGCTATGAGGTGTTTTTGGCCTCCCTTGATCAGTCCACACATCATGAGGTGAAGACCTGATCGGGAATAAGACCTGACTTGGCCCTGAAGGAAACAAGAAGGGGAACTGCAGGGAGCCATGAGTTGTGGCCGCCATTCCAAGATGGCACTGGGCCCCTGCAGGGCTGGAGTAAACAACTCCATATAGGGTCATAACCAGAATCACCAGCTCGAGCATGCTCAGTGTCTTCAGCTTGCTGGGCCAATCAGGGAGCCTGAGGTGGCTGCCAGGGGTGCTCGACCAATAGGACAGTTGCACGCTGCCTCAGCTCCTATATAAGCAGCTGCAGTCTTTGTTCTGGGTCCCTTGCTTCCTGCTCTCCCTTCAACCAAGAGGCTCCAATAAAGCGTGATTTGGGAAGAATCCTTGTCTGGTGGTAGTCTTTCCTGCTGGTCAGGGAGTAAATTAGATTTACTGTCGGACAGTGTGGGATATCTTTTAATTAATGACACCACAAAGGGACCTCAGTAAATGGTGCTGTCTGGGCTCCTTAACAGAGAACAAGGCAGGGTTCCAAAGGTCGGGGTTCATAGTACTACCTTCCATCCCAGCATGCAGCTGACTGATTTATGTTATAGGATGTGGGTCTGGGGCTCCCAGAATCCTGACTATGTCACCTGGATCCATCCAATCCTTCCTTTCCTGGTTTCCCTTTGATGCTCTCCATCTTTTCTCTCATAGATTCAGGAACTTCAGCAGCAGCCTCTGGAGTATGGGGAAACACTGGAAATGGGCAATTTCAGGATGAAACTGTTTATTTCCTGATGGAAGGACAGTGATTTCTGCTCATGTTTTCCATTGGCTACTGCCAATTACAATATGTTGCATGGTATCCTGTAACCTAGTGTTGAACACATAGTAGGGAGCACTGTAGAACCCTTTGGGGAAGTGGCAGCATGTGGGAATCAAGGTCAGTAAACCATCTTGTATTGGGCACCCACGTCACTGTCAGAGCTTCAAGACATGACACATCAGGACCAGGATATGTATCCCCTACCCATAGGCCTTCCAGACTCTGCTAAGAGCATGATGGGCTCAGGAATGCTTTCTCATGGTGATAGAGTAAGGGATTCACTGAGGAAACATATTAGCATCTCCTGATCTGGGCATTGGAGGCCTGGGAGTGCACACAGTGAGATTTGGATCATCACAGTCATGACATGATGATGCAGTCTGGACTTTATCCATTGTTTTTACTGAGGTATTTCTATTCACTATTGCCACAGTGAATGTGCTAATTTATAATAATGGAAAATTATTATAAATGAAGGGAAAGCAGAGGATACACAGAAGTGAGGACCTGACCCAGACAGATGAGATAGGATTTCTCTCATATTATAGATTCAGGAAAGAGTTGGATCAGTCAGAAAATGCCTACAATAGGTGGAAGGATAGAAATTTATTTGCTGAAGGAGGAATCTCATTGGAACACCCACATCTTCCCCTTCATCCCAAAAAAAATGCTTGCATCCTGGATATGCTCACAACAGTTCCTCAACAAAAGAAATGGGATCTTTTTTTTTGCAGAAATTTGGGATTATCATATTTCTTTCTCAGACTCTGGGACCTTGAATGATGTTCTTCTTTCTCTTCTGATTACTTCCCAGCTGCATGGTAGGTCCATTTCCGGCTGTGCCAAGCCTCAAACAGCAGAACCCCAAGAATTATGAGGACCAAGCCAGCCATCCCCAACCTGGTGAGATTTTCTATTGTGCAATCCTGGGTGTCTGAAGCTGTGGTTTGGGGCAAAGAAATCACAAACATTAGGGAAGACGAAAATTCCCCCATAATAACAGGTTGGTCACCCAGGGAACCTCCCTTCCCTGGACAGGTCTTGGACCTTCTGGGCATAGTACTACATCATTGAATTCTCCTTAAAAATTCCCCCATAATAACAGGTTGGTCACCCAGGGAACCTCCCTTCCCTGGACAGGTCTTGGACCTTCTGGGCACAGTACTACATCATTGAATTCTCCTTAAAAATTCCCCCATAATAACAGGTTGGTCACCCAGGGAACCTCCCTTCCCTGGACAGGTCTTGGACCTTCTGGGCACACTACTACATCATTGAATTCTCCTTATTTACCTGTCTTGGGCTTGCACATGTTATGTGATAGACTGATGTTCTTAGCTGATCCTAAGAACAGAAGAGGAAGAAGACTGTGAAATGCTTAACATAACCAAGTGCTTTCTCTGAGATTCACGGTCCCATTTCCCAGCCATTCTCATTATATTAGCTCATGAAGGTTTGTGTTGAGTTTTTCTCTTCCTGGATCAGGTATATAGGAATCCCTCTGGTGCTCTTAAGAAAATCCTCAGCCTTCCTATGCTCTTTAAAATCAGAACATCAGACCAAGTCACTTTAGAACAACATTTTAATCTGAATCCCGAGGGATCAGGATTAGTCAGAAAATTCACAGTTAAGAATAAAAGGAAACTTCCTGAGCACTCTGCTCAAACTACCAGACAGGATCGTGTCAACATAATCTCATGAAATGGGTTTTCTCTTTTGTCTGTTGAGTAACCAATATCCCAAGATAAAACCTGCACATTAGCATTAAAGGCCAATAAGTCTGTAGTGCATAGAGCTGACATTCTGGATCCCCCTCCTGTGTACATACCCTAGTTCTCTATATTATACACATAATTTTAGTAGCCTACTAACTATTCATCGCATCATTAGAAATGCCTACAATGAGACCCACCAAGACTCGAAAATGCCAATGTACTTCTATGCATGTATATTGTAAGTTGTTGTGCTGTGAATCTACAGAGCAAAAAATAAGCATCCAAAACTACTAGTAGGGCAATAGTACTGGGTCAAAGTCTTGTTAATATAAAAACATGTAAACATACATATGTAGTATAGAAGCACATGTATACAGATATATGTGCTTTCTGAAGCAAGAAAAATTGCTATGCAGGAAAAAGAAATGGATGTACAAGGAGATTATTATATTAAGACAAACCAATCAGAATAACTCTCCTTGCTCCCCCCCTCTCAGGTTGGGTAGAAAATAGTTTGTTCTTCATCCTTTTTCTTCTCATAGTTAATGTGGGAAATATACTGTTAATGTGTGAGGCAGTATCTTATAGAATGGTATGTAGAGGTAGCTTTCAGCAAATGATCTGGTCATGGACTGGAACTGTTATTACCACTGCCAATAACTCCTTTTAAGTACCTGGGACCTTTCGGATTTCATTGGGGAATGGGGAATGCTAGTGAGAATTCCTTGATGGACCTGCCTGTTGGCTTCCACCTTCATGAAGGGTGAATATCCCACTGACCAACTACCCGATAGAGTCTCTCATTTTGATCCTAGCCAGAAATCCTTCATGTGAAGGTAGGAGTTCCACATTGGCATCAGTGTGTGACAACAGTTAAGGCCACAAACCTGGAGAACCACAGCATCTCTAGGTACTGAGGTCACATCACCCATAGAGAATTCTACCTGGAACTGATGAGCTCAAAATTTTGTTTTTAGGTTCAGGAGTGGAAGGACTGCTCCCTTCTTGTACAGAAGTGTCCACTGTGTTCATTGACCAACAACCCAGGCTAACACTCTCTCCTGGGGGTACTGCATAGCCAGGCTATACGGAGTGTGAAGAGAGCTTCTCACCATGTTATGGGGTTGTCTGTGAGGACCTGGTCTCTTTCTGTGTTTTTATGACCATGTTCCTCCCTCCCTCTCCTGTCTCACTGTCTATTTCTTTCTGAGATCCTCTGATTCATTCTGTATATCATCTCTTAGATTTTCACAGAAGACCCTATGATGTTTGTGGCCCTGAATTAGTTTCCAGGATTTCTTGCCTGTGAACAGATGCCTATGGAACCACTAGGTGCTGACCACTCAGAGGAGAGGTTGTGTATACTCTAGTATCTCTATAGGCACTTATGGAAGCTGCTTACAAGGCCCAGGGTAAGAGAGACCAGCCTGGCTGAATATGCTGTGGTGCCCGCTGGGAGAGGTAATTTCCCGCTGTCTTGGCCAGGACAAGTCTGTCATAGCCAGCATCAGAACAAGAGTGGATGATCAATGTCTCTACAGAGGCTAGCACATGGTTTTGCTGAGACAGCAGGGTGGGCTTCCTGGACAGCCCTGGAAGAAACATTGGCGGTGGTTAAGGAGCCAATTCCTGCCAAGAATGCTCCCCCTCCCAGCTTACCTTGCTGGTGCTACTGATTCTCACACTCTGTGAATTCTGCCTCAGGGTGAACTCTCCTCAACCACCTCCCAGCAGAGTTTAAAAAAAAGACTAGGGCTTCAAAATATGATTGGGTCAATGGTAGGGCTGCCTCACCTGAGACTTGTATTTCCAGGTGGTCACTAGGTTCTGACCAAACATGTGGGTTTGCCTTGTAGTAGCCATAACATTTGAATGTTCCACTACTTCTGGGAGTCACAGGGCCCACAGAGAACAGGGCCTGGCACTGCCCAGCAGATGTCTTCTGTGACTCCATGACCATGGAGTGCTTCTGTTCTCCTTCCTTGGTCACAATGAACCTGTCATATTCCTCCTGTGAGAAACACTTGAGGGTCACAGTCTCTCCTGAGGTCACCACAGGTCTGGGCAGGAGTGATAGGCAGGGCTTATTGTCAAAGTTTCCTTGGAGAGAAACAGGGTTTTAAACATGCTCACAAAGCCCCTTCCCCTTGTCAAACAAGGCTAGGCTGCAAAAAACGGACATCCTGACAGCAGTCCCCTCCTCGTGAAGTTAGAGCCTAGAATGGTACCTCTTAACATCTCCTTACCTGTCACTACCAGCTCAACTTTGTCACTGCGTGCTGACCAGCCAGAGGTGGTTTTATAGAAACAGTAATATTCGCCTCCATCATACTCTCCAATTGAGCTTATGGAGAACACGGCTTTCTCCCCACGTTCCACTGAGGTTTGTTTATGCTGGATATTTTTGAATTTCATAATATAAAGAAGATACTTCTGTGCATCTGACATCCCCATACATGAGATGTTCACTTGCATTCCCCTAGTGACCAGAGAGCCTGGCTCAGCCTTGATGGTTGGCTTTGGTAAGGCTCCTACAAAGAATCAATAGATGGGTGTCATGGGACATTTTCCATTGGACCCTAGCCCTCAGTCCTGCACATACCCAGTATCTCAAAGATTAGCCCATACCTGCTGCTCTCCATTCTTACTGCCTAGAGTGAGGAAGACGGTTGAGTACACACTTACCTGCCAGCACTGGGATCCTTGGTCTCAGAGTGAGTCCTGGAAGAGAGTTGTCTATTCAGGATTTCATCCTGGGCTCTCAGAAGATCTTTCCTCCAGAGAACCTCCCATGCCCCTCGAACTTTCTGCTGGGAAAGTCCTGGGCTGTGTGAGGCAGTCCCTTCTGGATCACAGTGTTTCCTCCCACACTTCAAATCTCACCGAAACAGATCAGGACTGTGAAGGAGAAAGCCATAGCATCTTTTCTCGGTGGCTGCAACTGTGTATATGAAGAAGGCCACAGTCCCTGGCCTTATGGACTGGAGCACATGGAGTTTTGGAAACTTGGTGCTCCACCTCAAATGGTTGCACTTCAGGATCTCCACAGAAAAGGGAACTGCCCTTCCCGAGGGCCTGGCTCTCGTTTCCCCAATGCTATGCCTTGGACAGCCTCCAGATTCTCTGTAGTGTTTTCTTTAAAACTTATGCTTGTTATCTCCCAATTCTACCCAATAATCTATCATCACATCAATGTCCAGGAGAAAATATCGATAAACCTTATGATTTCCTTGGCTCTCCACTTCCAGATTTGGGTGGCTGAGCGGTCATCTTCCCTCGTTGAATCTTCTTATGAAGTCTCCCTCGTGGCTTCAGTCAATCCAGCTATACAGCGCTATAGGATCCTTATGTGGACCAATTGTCTCCCCAGTCCTCAAGGTGTCTTGGGCAAGACAGATATGAATGCTTCAGAGTGGACACAGAGTAGCAGAGAACTGAACACCCGACTGTGAAGTTATGTGGAGTTTTCATCTTGAGGGTAAGTGCAGAGGAAGGATGGACATGGAGAAGAAAACCTCGTTCTAATGTTCTTGAGGCTGATGAGTAATTCCATGCACAGAATACTCCTGACCCCCTTTTATTCTTTTTAAAATTTTTTTATTTAATTTAAATTAGAAACAAGTTTGCTTCACATGTTAAACCCAGCTCCCTCTCCCTCCCCTCCTCTCCTGTACCCCTTCAGCCCTCCCTCAATCCCTCCTCCAATCCCCACTCCACTCTCTAAGGAGGGTGAGGCCTTTCATGGGGATCTCAAAAGCCTGTCATATGATCTGGGGCAGGGCCTAGGCCCTCCCTCATATGTCCAGGCAGAGACAGCATCCCTACACGTGGAATGGGCTCCCAAAGTCCATCCGAATGACAGGGCTAAATGCTCGTGTATTGCCTGAGACCCCAAAGGACGCTGAGGCCTCCTCAGTGACACCCAATTCAGAGGGTCTATATCAGTCCCATGCTGGCCTCTCAGCTGTCAGTCTGGGGTCTATGAGCTCCCCCTTGTTCAAGTCAGCTGTTTCTGTGGGTTTCACCCACCAAGTCATGACCCCTTTGCTCATCACTCCTCCCTCTCTGCAGCTGGGTTCCAGGAGTTCAGTTCAGTGTTTAGCTGTGGGTGTCTGCCTCTGCTTCCTTCAGCCACTGAATTAAGGCTCTAGGATGGCATACAAGGAATTCATCAATCACATTATCAGGGAATGGCATTTAAGGTAACCTCTCCAGTATTGGTTAGATTGCCAGCTGGTGTCATCCTTGTAGGCCTCTGGTCATCTCACTAGTACCAGATCTCTCTTCAAACCTATAATGGCTCCTTCTACTATGGTATCTCTTATCCTTATCTCCTCTATTCTGCCCTCTACTCAACTACCCTGCTCCCCCATGCCCTCCTCTCCCCTCCTCTTCACCCCTGTCTTTCTCTCAGCTTCCTCACACTCCTCCAGTGCTCCCAATCCCTTCAGAAGATTCTGTCCTGTTCCCCTAGCAATTGCATCCATCGCTATCTCCCTACGGTCAACCTTCAATGCCATTCTTACCTCTTCCATGTTTCTGTTTCTTGAGGAAGAATTGTCCTTGCTAGAAACTAGGCTGGTCTCTCTTGAATTCCTCCATACCAGTCACAAGCTGTCCCACCTTGACCAGAGGCTTTTATCTCTGAGGCTCATCATTTTGAGTCAGTTGTGAGCAATTCATTCATCAGTTCATGGAGTCATGGTGTCTTAAGCCATCACTGGGTTTCAGGCCAAGATATAACGTGGGTTTGGGGCGTGAGAGATTCAAGGTGTTGCATGATGTACATGCCCACGGAGTATCTTTTTATGCTCTGAGTGTGTATGAATGGCATGTTATAATATGCTTGAGATCTGCAGATCATCGTGGCCATACGTAGCAAAAGAGAATCAGAAGACCCTTGAATGGAGAAAGACCAATTTTACAGATAATTTAGGGGAACGGTGAATAGTATCAAAACACACTGTTTGACATTGCCAAATATGACTCCCCAGGAGAGGCCTGATCCCTCTGAGGAGTAGTGGGGAGTGGGATGGAAAAGGTGGGGAGGTAGGACAAGGGGAGGAAACTGGGGTTGGAATGTAAACTGAAAAAATTAAATTTAAACAACGAAATTATCAAATAACTAGGAATTTTGGTTGTGAGACTACCCTTTAAGAGCTGAGCCATGTCTCCATGCCAAAATAACTAGTTTTTTTAAAGAAAGATTTGCTATTACCTTCTGTCCTATTCTAGGAATGGAACTCAGAGCCTCTAGCACTCACATTTTGCTATTTGTGTTGTTGTTTGAGGGGAGGTGTTTTGGTGGGTGGAATTTTTTGCACACCCTCTTCATAAAGAGAACTATGGGAAAATATGTGTAACTTTACACCTGGAATACATGGCAGTAAGGGTCAGAAATTTGACTAACATCTTTGACATTATCTGGAGATGAACCAGGTTCATTTATCTTTGATGGAATTACTTGTGACCCAACCACTATGTAAGCCCCTTCATCTGATTATCCAAACAACAACAAAAAACAATGGAGTCTGCTGGCCTGCTCCTCTTGTGTTGCTCATGGCTATATATCTGACAGCAAGTTCCCCAGAAATGGCACTTAATCAAAGAGGGGTACACAACTTGGTGGTTGAGTACTTCCTTAGCTTGTGCAAGACTACGAGCTCAGACTTAGGAACTGCAGGGAAGAAAACCACACTTTATGTATTCCTGATTCTTTCTCTTGTTTCATGGAGACTTGCAGAGGGTTGTCATATATGAAGACTGGATTTTCCTATAGCTAATTATTGGTTTAAAATAATTATTAAAATTCAGTTTAGTAATATGCTCATAAATGAGAGGAGATGTTACAGTAAAATATCGGGACTCTCTTAAAAGTTCAAAGCAAGAAGAAAAATGTGACCTGTGGTCTTTCCTCATGAAGGAGGCATTGAGTGCTAAGTTTCAGTAATGATAACAATTTTCCTGCCTGCACCACTGTGCTGGGGGTGGAGAACAAAGAGCCCAGAGGTTATATTGCTTGAAAGGATGGTGTTTGTGGGCGTCTCTTGTACTTCCCTCTTTTTAATACAGAAGGCTTTACAGGAAGTGAAACAGCTATTTCCCAACTCTACCTCTGCAGTTGTCACAATAAGACGCACATTTCTCTTTTCAGACATAACAGATTCCTCTGAGGAATTCAATTCCATACTTAAGACATTCTTTTCACATGTGCCAATGGAATAAAGAGAGTCCACCAATGGAGAGTAAGGCACATCTTAGTTTTATTTAAGGTCACATTCCTGCTCCTGAATTCTTATGTCTTCTTGATATCCAGCATGGATTCATCGTGTTTCCTGAAATGCTACGAATGAAACCTCAAGAAACCATTTTCTTTGGGTTGGGAGGGTTTCATATGAAATCAAAACCCACTTCATCCCTTGGCATAAACTTCCCAGAAAGGTAATTTTCATAATTTCAGGGTATTCAGTTTTTGCTAGACCCCAGTTTGGATGAATACAAAATATTCCTTCATCTATGAGGTCAAAGCACGAATCATCTTGACACTGATGATGTCATGACAGAACTGGTCCATGTTCCAGAAATCACTAGATACCAGTAGATCCTGAGCTAGGAGTGAAGCTTATCAGCTTCTTTCCCTTCATGCTGGGCTATTGATGGGCATAATTTCATTCCAGACTTCTCCACCTCTAGTCATGATACTTAGGAAATTTAACCAGGCCAGATATCCATGAATTTATTAATGAACAGTGCAAACATGCTCTTTGTCCACAGTTGAATTTTATTTAGCTGTACAGAACAATGAAATTACGACATTTGTAGGTAAGTGGATGGAATTGGAAAAAGTATACTGTTTTTGGATATCCAGGCTCAGAAATACAAATACTGCATGCATTCTTGCATATGAAGAGCCTAGGTTTGGAGCTAAATTTGTGTGTTTGGCTTGGAGTAACCATAGAAACCTAGGAAACTAGAAAGTGACAAGTACAGGGAGGAAGAAGGTAAGGAAGATCTTAAGGAGTAAGTGATAGTTGAAAGGTGGTATGAAGTATAGAGGAGAATAATGGGGAGGTTTAAGTGAGGACAGGATGGGTGTGAGAAGGAGGATAAAAAAACAGCCATAACTGACTCCCATAGAACAATGTGAGGTGCACTCTCACCCTGAACTCTTGGGGAAGGGTCTAGGCCCTGCCCTATATGAAATGACAGACTATGGACACCCCCATGGAGGGCCTCACCCTCCCTGGGGGAATGAGGGGATAACGGGGGGGGGGGAGGGCACGGGAGGAGGGGAGGGAAAGGGAGAGGGACCTGGAACTGACTTGTGAAGCAACCTCGTTTCTTATCTAAATTTAAACTGGAAAAAAAAGAATTACATGGCTAAAAAAAAAAACACCCATAACTAAGGTGTTCGTACAAACTCACATGGAAACCCACTATTTCATATGCTGAGAAATTGAAAGAGGAAAGTTGGAATTATATATGATCGCATCATATTTAATTGTGTGCATGTATAATATAAATTCTAAAAGATTGAGATCAGTGTGTGTGTGCGTGTGTGTGTGCGATCTGAATGGAGTTACCCTAGACATGGGATAATGTTCCCTCCAAAGGCCACAGCGGGTCCAAAAAAAGAAAAAGCCTGGTGCCAGGTATGGGTTATCTCCCTTTATGCCATTGGACACACAGAGATCAAAGACTTACAAAACAATACTGACTACTGCAACAGCTTTTGGGTTCCCAGAAGACTCAATAGCAAGATGTCTTAGCAACTTTTCTATTGCTGTGATAAAACACCATGACCAAGACAATTCATAAAAGAAAACATTTTATTGCAGTTTACAGTTCCAAAGGGTTAGTCTATGACTATTATATCAGGGGGCATGGCACCAGGTGGGCAGGCACGGTGTAGAAGCCGTAGCTAACAGATAACCACCAAGCCAGAGAGAGAGAACGGGGAATGCCGAGAGTCCTTTGAAACATTAAAATCTGTCCCTGGTAACATATACATTGCAACAAGGCTACACCTCCT